CATTAACCTACAAAAGATGTAGATGGATTGTGATTCACTACACTTGTAAGTGTATTTCCACCACTTCATAAAATATATGTAACATGCAGTTGAATTACGGTAGTCTGCTATTATTGTAAATTGTCAGCTTTAACTGTTTATTCATGACATTGGCCGTTAATTTACAAGCAAGAGATGGAATATTAATTGTATGTTACAGTTATTATGACATACGGTAAGATACCGTTAGAAATGCACTGTAAATTTACAGCAATTTGTTACAGTGTAAAAAAGAGGTTAAGTCTGTTGCGTTATTTCAGGATCTTCCTTTTATTTCACGACACAAGATGCAGTCCATTTTTTTCAGTTTTAGATTTGATTTGATTTATATAGCCCTAAAACAATTGATGCAACACAACCATTGAGTTCCTTTATCTAGATGATGGGAACAGTAACATGACAGTTCATGGGAGAAGTCATGAAAGGAATAGGTTAGAAAGAGTAGGTCAGCACCAGTGCAATTACAATGAGTAAAAAGCCGTAAAAAGACCTTGATTCTAAATACATTCTACTCTCCAACATTCTTTAAATGACTTTGGAGTAAATGGGCCAAACATACACAAACACTGGATTGATCCCGGGACGGTTACTGCACCATGAAAAGTCAGCACAACGCTTCTCGTCCACCTCCCCGTTCCCTCTGACTTCCTCCCCTCCGCCCGCTGACCGAGTTCCTGCCGCAGCAGAAAACCACAGACGAGGCTATTAGAGCTGACGTGTTGTCACCCCTGTCTTGTCCTCGTCCAGACAAACAAAGACGCAGGGTCCCGTTGAACGGCCCTGTGATGATGAGACACTGGCAGCGTCCTGTCTGCCCCAGCGGGGCCTCAGGATGCAGCGGAGAGCAGGAGCTACATTCACTCCCCATTCACAGCGGCAGCCTGTTAATGTTCAACCACAGACAGGAACTGACGCAGTGCTTCACCCGCCCAGCACACCTATTGATGGTTTTGTTGGTTGGCTCAAACAGGGCAGGAGATCAAAACAATCACTAAATACAGGGATTTCTTTTTAATGCATGCAAAAAAATGTTTCTTATTTTGGAGAATGTTGAGTATATCACAAAACCTATAAATCTATAAATGAATGCAATACGCACGTACTGTACCTGTTGTATCAACACCACGGAAAGCTTTATGACATAGAAAGGACTGTATATAAAAACTAACATGATTATTTGGAAATATAATACACATGCACATACCTAACTTCAATATGCATGCACATACACACTATGCCCACTTATCGATACAATTTCAGCACCACATTGCACCCCCGCTTCACCCGGTCAGTACACGTGTACGGGAATGCTGGTAGAAGAGATCCATCCGTCTCCCAGGTGACAGTCAGTACTACTCCACCATGCCTCCTCCCAGCTGGCAGCTCCACATGCCCTGTTACCCCCTGCTGCTCTCTCTGAGAGGCGATCTGTCGAGCCATCCTCCTGCTGACTCACACTGGGCCCCAGAGCAGAATACCTCCACATTTACTGGACTAATATGTTATTCACGGTTCCCACAGGATCAAACATGAGCTCAGGTACAGAACCGACGATAACCCAAACCATGATCTTTTTGGTAAAGCAGAACAAGGAGTTTGCTGCTTTAACAAGTGAGACCAAGTGGCCCCGACTAAGTAAGCCCAACCAAAATGCCCCTACCAAGTGGTCCCGGTGTAGAGGCCCCTACCAGGAGGCCCTCACCAAGAGGCCCAGACCAAGAGGTCTCGACCAAGCGTCCGTAAGTTAAGGGCTGGGAATGAGAAATATTGGCCTTCTTATATTATGTTATATTTATAGTTACCAGAAGATGAACCCTAACGATTCTGGTGAACCCCAAACATGCTCTCCAACATGCACCAGGAGGATATATTGGGCCTCACTTCTCAAGCTTAGGAAACAATCTATATCGCTAAGAGTTCACACAATGTGGTGAAGCTTTGAGTCCATCGAAACAGCATGTTGAAGAATGCAAGATAGCCCAAAACACTTTGTGAATAAAGTATGGTATGCCTATATGCATGACCCAACAACTATAGCTAACTTGTGGTTTCTTTTCTCCTCATCCCCCAGGACTGCTAATAATAGTAATAATAATACATTTACTTTGTAATGCACTTTATATTTGAGAAAATCCCAAAGTGCTACATGATAAAACAGGTAAGTGCTAACAATAAAAACACATGGAGAGTTTGAAAAAAAAGGGGCTACCCACCGAGTGAATCAGAACGAACATGTGCCGAGCCATGGCACGCTGTACTTCTTCGTTCCTTGGAGATTAGCTGACTTGGGAGAGCGCAGGTTTTTTTCAGGGTTCCCACGTTTAGTCATTTTCGCGGAAAGTGTAAAAGTGTCTGTGTCTCAGGATCCCCAATGGTCCTCTGCATCTGTGAAGGCAGAAAGGTGCTGTCAGTGAGTTGTCCCACAAACGCATCATCGCATCGTCCATCTCAGCACATCTTTGTGCCTCGGACAGGACAAGACAGGAAGGACGACGCGTCAGAAATAATGTCCGTGCCTGTAGTTTTCTGAGTGGCCGGCAAAGCGCAGCGCAGAGGAGGCACACAGCTGCAGCCACTAGTTCCCTTGGTGTCAAAGGGTTTTATTAAATCTGGTCTGCAATATTTTCTGTAATTATTTATAGTAGGAGTATTGATCCTCAATCACCTTCAACTCACACAAATAGCTAACATTCTTTCAGGACGCCCCAGCAGTGGTTTTTGTATTTGGTAACTAGAAGGATTGTAGTCACACAGTGGTTATGAGTCAAAGTCCACAAATCTTAGCTTTAACAAGAAGGATGGTTATGGGTTGATTGTTCTATGTTCGTCAATCATATTCATTGTATATATTAGTAGTTATCAATGATTATACACTCAACACAACCAACCTCAAACTAAAGTATATTTTATATACTTATTTACTGCAAAACTAATTAACAATGTATTTTTATGTTACATTTTATAATACTTGTTTTAACACTTCTGTACACAGCCAGGAAAACAATCTAATGAAGAAGCACTGAAGCTGTATTAACATGAATTTGTCGTCCATGGACCGTGTGTGCTTATAGAGCTGAGCGCCACAAACACGGTGGAGAAGAGGAAAATTACAGGATTAGTTGACAATAAAGTAAACATAGAATATTACAAACCATATCAGCCAAAATTGGTGGCCTTTGGTCAAAGAATAACAGCATTTATATTTTCTCAAAAGTAAAGAAAACACTGGTGAACCATTAACGTGATGATTTTAAAAAGCAAATACATTAAACAAGGAAGTGGCCTTTGTGGAGATTGGAATCCCTCCTGGGTGTGTGAAGAAGGTGTGTGGGAGTGTTGTGTGGGCTCTCCCCATACAGAAGCCCTCTAAAGACCAGCCTACGCACCCAACATCCCACCTCCATCGCAGCCACCACATCCAGCTGGAGTCCGTCAGCAAAAGAGCCAGCAAGGCAGAAAGCATAGAGGTAGAAGACAACAAGGAGACCAGAGGAGGACAAAGGCTGTTTTAAGAAAGGAAGGAAAGTGCGTGATTCATAGAAAGGTCTGAGGTGGACATGGATGCGGAGAGTGTGTGTCGGTGGGACCATCCTGTCGTGCAGAAAGGCCCACTCCTACACGCACATTCCTCTGCATTATACGGAAGTCATCCCTAATGACAGCGTGGACAGAAGCACAGCGCGGGGACGGATACCTGCAGCAGGAAGAGACGTGTGTGACGGCAGGATGGGAGATTTGTACACATACAACAGAGAGAAAGCTCACAGTGGCTTTACTTGATGGGTATGGAATGTGCACCATTAGTGCGCAAAACAACAATGAAAGGTTTAGTTGTTTAATTTGCTTTCTTCTTCCTGGTGGAAGGTACATGGTTTAATATTTCTTATTTTATTTTTTGTTATTCTGTTTTTTTTATTTTCAACCATATTGAAGTTCCATTCTGTGGTGTGAGTTGCAGTTATTCAATGAGCTAGAAGTTCTATGAGAAGCCCAAAATCACCTCTGAAGTGAACCTGCTTCTTCACCAGATATGCATACAATATCAGAAATCAATAACAAACAACTGCTGTAATCATTTCTACACGCAAAAAATATACGCTTTAGGCTCCTCAACCGCAACTTTGTAGAATCAATATTTTTGTGTTTATTTTATCTTAGCATGAGAATCTCTTTTTCATTCAGCTGTTTATCATTATTATTTTTATGATATGTAAAGATATATTATGATATTAGTATTGACATGAAGAACAAGAGTTGTCTTGGCCGGTCTGCCATGGGGGAACAGGCTGTAAATGTTGCCATACTGTTCAATATAAAATATGTTTAATGTTTGGAAAGTGAATATAGCAAAGGCACACACACACACACACACACACACACATATTAATATAGGGTATCAGAGCTCAGGCCGGCCCTACTGTCCTGCTGACAGCTTGAGAGCCTTTATTGTGAAACGGCATCCCCTGATGTCAGGGAGCATATTCACTACTCCCTCATGAGACAAGATGTGAATATCTCCACAGACAGACATCTATCATCAACTGAGGACAATGTCAAAGTACGCAGGAATCACATTTTGGAAGGACAACCATTCCGTCTTCAACACTGAATTTATAATTGACTCAGGCGTAGAGGAATCAAACAACCACGAAAATACTTATTTCTAATAACTAAATAATAATAAAAACAAATCAAAAGCAGCACGGACACACTGGAGAAGGAGAAAGAGAAAGCAAAAGGACCTGGTAACAAAAAACAAAAACCCGGTAGGATCCGTGCTGGCTTGAGACAGGAAAATGGGGATCGGATGGGGCTTAACCTGACATGGATACAGGGGCCGATGGGTGGGCTGACGGTTAACTGCATTCAGGTTTGGGGGGGAAAGGGCGGGAAACTAAACAAGGGGTCTCTGAGCGATGACGGTGTGGTCAACAGAATGAAAACAGGAAATTACACTGGTAGTAAATCATAGGTTTATGTTTTTAATTGTAACTGTAACCGCAGCTGTGGAATAAAGGTTACAAACTAAAAAGTACAACTGCTGAGAGGCCTCTGCAGCCATGTGACAATGACACCAGTGTTATTAAGCTTAGTGTAGTACTACATTCATCTGCCCCCCCCCCTTCCCCACCTACCCCCTCCTCATCTCCCTCTTCATCTGAGAGGTTCCCTCTCGCTCGTAGCCTGCTGCCTCTGTGGCAGCATCTTGCTTTAGAGCCGCTCTTTCTTCCCCGAGCCGTGCCCTCTGCCTCTCATTCAATGAGCCGGGGCTCCATTCACATTGGTGTGTTGTTTGCACGGCCGCCCACAGAGTTCCTCTCGCACTCGGACGGGAGGATGGAGCAGGGCAGCTGGCCGTGCTGATGTTCTTACCTTCAAAATATGAATTACAAGATATTAAATGTTTGAGTAAAAGTGATTTTAGATTAGAACAAAAATCATAAAATGTTGTGTGATTATTATTATAATGTCATTATTTTGCTTTTACAACATTCATATATACATTTTACCACAGCTTCCAAAGGTGTTTTTTATAAAAGGAAATCCGCCGCCATTAAAACACAAAATACTATGCTGTTTTTAGCATGTGGAAGAACAATTCCCCTTCTAAACCCATTTTCATTTGGTATTTATAGTACTTTTTATATACAGCTAATGACAGGTCGTTAAAAGCATCTGGCTGCACGCTCACCTGAACAGGATGTGATGTGGATATGCTTGTGTTTTTACATCCCTTCATCAACAATAAAATTCATTTCTAAAAAATGTCATTTTACGTTAAAGATAAATCTGTATTCACAACGAGCTACACTGCAATGTGCAGACATCTCTTTTTGGAATGAGAAATGAGCTGAGCTCCATCTAGTGGTGTGCTGTGCAGCATTCTACTAAAATGTATCTTCAACAAATTTCAATCATCACATCAAAGTACACAACCTACAACTTAGAACATCAAACAATATTGTGCAAAGTATTTTCACTTTCAATTATTACGATTCATCAGACTTAGGAACAGGCATGTATATAAACATACTAAACAAATCAAATAGCACCAAAAAAACATGCAACCAAAAATGTGCAAGGTCAGAGAATGGAGAGAGAAAAAGCAGTAAACATTTCTATTATTGTGGCCACAAATATCACATGTCATTTCTCAACACAACCTGCAGCAACTGAAAACACAATAAGCAATTAAAATACATTTTTCACAGTGACACCGTAAACAATAAAAGACTAAATTAAGCACACACCTACACCACACCCATACACTATTCATTCCCTGCATTATGAAGTGCATCAAGGATCTTTGTAGACCGCTGGGTTGTGCGTTAACAACTTAGTTCGAGCTTTCAGATGTCTTAAAATCAGCCACACGGAGGAAAAAACCCCACAAAAAGTAGTTTAAAGTGTCTGCAGCAAAGAAAGGAAACAGCTGGGGTATATTTACAGACTGCAGAGAAAAACAATTGGCACATAACTTCTCAAACAGCGGTCACAGTGTGTCAAATAAATCTATTACGAAGAATCCAATTCTACTGCATTATATTTTTTAACAGCAGAATTTTTACCCTACCGAATTTGTTATGCAGTATTTACTTACAAACAAACATCGTGCAGTGACATCAAGTATGTGTTTCACTCATTTGCACTTTTGGAAGCAGCACATGCCAAGTGGCCCCTGGAGTAGAAGCTGCCTTACAGACTGAAGGGCGTGAACTTCTGGGCCTGCTGAGCTCCAATCTCAGCCACATACAGGGCCCCTGTTTCCAGGTCCAGGTCCACCAGGTGGGGCTTCACTTCCTCAGCCAGCTGGATCACGCTGGCCACAACGCACTGGCCAATGGAGCCCACCGGTGGGGCCCTCAGAAGAGAGATCTGGTTGGTGTTGAGCTGGACGACCACAAAGTACTTCTTGTCCGGGGTCAGACGGACTGAATATGGCGCGTCCTCCGTGAAGCAGCTCCCCCACGTCCCCAGCCACTCCCCAGTGACGGAGTTGAAGACCTGGATCCTCTTATTGGCCCTGTCGGCCACCCACACCCTCTGGACGTCGTCCACAGTCACGCTGTGGGGGATGTTGAACTGAGCCGGGCCTTGTCCCTTCTCTCCGTGTAACCACAACACTTCCTGCTCTTTGGACAGCTTGATGAGGCGGTTGTTCAGTCCACCGTCCCCGTCCACGATGTACATCTCTCCGGAGTCGTGGACGAAGATCTCAGCAGGATTGTCGAACTGCAGAGGATTTAACCCAGAGCCTTTTTTTCCTGCCGTGCCAACCACCTAACAAATAAAAGAAAATATTTAACACCAGAGCAACATCTGAGGGGTTTCTAATTGTATATAGCATCCAGGCTGGTGAGACTATTAGAGACAATTGAAATGGTAGATAAATACCAGGCACCTGCAGGAGCTTCCCAGATGGCGAGTACTGTTTGATGCAGTGGCCGTACGGGCCGTCTCCCACGTCTGTGATCCACACGGTGGGGTTGGAGGAGCCGCCATCTGCTAAAAAGATACCGTGAGGCATCTCCAGGGTGGTTGTGTTCCAGGCCATCAGGAAATCTCCATCAGTGGTGAACACCAGCACCTTGGGCACATTGTCACCTGATGACAGGGCAAAGGCCGGCCGGCCAATGATTCAATATTTATCATATGATAAATATTATTTATCATATATCATTTTATCATATCATTTTTAACGCGTTAACTGGTGCGTGGGACTAGTTTACCTCTCTGCGCCACATACACCACCCCGGCGTGCTGGTTCACGGCGACCCCGAACACCTCCCCGGTGAAGAGCTCCGGACTCTTCGGCCAGCTCAGGTCCAGCTTGAAGAGGGGTCTCCTCAGCAGCTGGTGGTCGTGCCTGAGGCTGGGGCCGATGGTGCCGCGCATCCGCATCAGGAGCACGGCCAGTGAGACCATGGTGGACGCGATCACACACCAAGCGCCTCTCTTCATCAGCGGCGATAAGGAGAGAAACATGACTGAGCTATTCCAACGCGAACCGAGCCCACCGGTAACGTAATGTATCGACGCTATTAGTCTGTGTGTATATTGTGTGTAAGCCACAAACTGCATTCACGGCAGAGTTACTTCCTGGAGTCCTCAACAAAAACATGCCGAGTGAATACCACGTGAGTAACACATTCCACATCCGTTCAAACTACCACAATAAACGCATCACACACACAGCAATCCTAAAACCCTACTGGCTACGGTGCCTGCACATGGTCCAACAACATGTCAACGTGAGGTCATTGTCAATTTGTTCGTTGAAAGTCCAATGCGGTTTTAAACCGACTATTTTTGAACGCCCTTCCTGAAGGCTTTTATTTATAGTGCGAGGCTGTTCTACTCCCGTTAACTTGACTGAGACACACTTCCGACCCGCACGCAGCGTAGAAAGTCGCTGACGTCATGACGTGCTGACGTAGCTCTGGCTGTGGAAGCGACTCGGCTTCCCACACAGCGACCAATATTCTTTTCAAGTCATTCCTCTCCACACTCTTGTTTCGCATCGCATTGCGAGTGACAGTCCGTGTGGACGGAGACACCTTCCATGTAGTGGACACCTCCAGGTATCGGTTCCATGGAAGTCGCGGATAGCCCGCTCAATCTCGTAAGTTTCGGTCTTGATGTTGCAATACCAGGCTAGCGTTGCTGTGGCTAGCTGTGCTACGTGGGCTACCATTAGCTCCTTTAGTTAGCGGCTAACCGTGTCTAACCATTTGCCAGTGTCCCCGCTGTTGTCCCGCAGCTCGGACGTGTTACACGCGGTACTTAGAACGAGCAAGACGTCCGACGTTGGGACATTTTAGCTGCTGCTGTTTGGTGTATCGCTGGGCACTAATGTTAGCCAAGTCATGTTGACAAGTTGTTGGCTAATGTTGCCTGTTCTAGAGGCCATCTGATAATAACCTGCGTCCGCCCGGTCACACCACACAAAGTTAACGCTGCAATGAAATTGTCTACGATGATCGTAGCCGTAACGTGTGTTGTTTTGACTTTTATGTTGTATTTTTTTTCTTGTGAATTTTCAAACAAAGAGCAGAGAGTAAAATAGGCTCCAGCCCTTCATAACCCCTTACTCTTAAATAAGAAGTAGGTGAGAAATCGATACAGACTTATTGAGTAGAACAAATGTCAAATGGAAACGGGAGGGATTCAGGGACCACCTGTGATCTCACAGTCCTGCTCACATCCATTGTAAGGGAGCACATTTTGAACCTCTCGACCTATTCGATTTGGACTAGAAGCCTCCATCAGCTGTGGGGACAGAACAGCCTTTATGAATCTAGATTGAGGTCATATGTCCTCACCTCGCGCGTTGGAGCTTTACTGCTGCAGGCGGGTCTCCTGCATCACTTTCCCTTTCGATAAGCGACCCCTTCAGTGTCGAGCTTCGCTGCCCAACAGGCGGGACACGACTACCTGATGACGTGTTGACAATCAAGCTGAACAGGCCCTTCAAATGATGCGTTGAATGACTATTTCTTTGTGAATTGTTGAGCACATTTATCACATTAAATGAAATGTTGATAAATTAAGTCAAATTAGTTAGGACTAATATATATTTTTAAAATGTCTCAATATGATGAATAATAATACATTCTACTAACCGGACCTGGCTTTTCAAACAAGTCAACTTTTCTCTCTCAATAAATTAATTGTCGTAAAACATTGTAGAAATTCGCCTTTTGAATTCCACACAGCCCAAGATGACACATTGGAACCGTCCACAACCCGTTTCCACCCGAATGAGAAACGGGAAATCCAAAGTCACCATCCACAATTCCATCGAGTAAATCCCTAATAACAAGCGCACACTGACTCCATTATTCCCCATGAAATCTGAATGGATTAGAATTCCGAGTGAAGCCAGTGGCCAAAATCATGGTTTAATGATCAAAACTCTTCAGTGTGGGCGATTCATTTAGCATGGATGGATCGTATGAATCAACTAATCGTTTCCGCTCCACTTGTCTCCGTCTTAATCATGAACAGCATCGTATTTGCTTGATTTGTTCCGCGGCGTGGAAGGTGTGTGAAACGTTCTCTGCATGTGTGGGCTACTTTTCAGGCTCATCAGCAGTGCAGGAAGGCCGACCGCTTGCTGGCGGCTGGGAAGTATGAGGAGGCCATTTCCTGCCATGGAAAAGCAGCGGGTGAGCTCAGCTTCTTGAACAAGCTGCGGTCCACTACCTTTCTGTTCCCCCCCTCAACATGTAGTTCCCTTTAAAGCAACGACTCAGATCGTCACAGAGCACCTTGTTCCATCTAATGGGGACTCCCACGTGTCGCCGTCCCTCACAGCTCATGTAAAGCATTCCGAGAGAACCTGGGAAGTCTGTAATGGGGTCCAACTGTCCGTCTCTGTCTCCCTCGCAGATTTTTTGACCGACGCAATGAAGACCACGGAATGTGAGCAGGTGAGGCATTCCCGTTCATGGTAATCTAATGTGTCTAGTGTGGCCAGCGAAGCTCCTTGTAATCTCACATACTTCTTCTCCTTCCGTACAGAAGTTTGGCGCATCTCCTCCCGCACCGTTGATCGGAATTGTCTCAAAATAGGCGCTAGCTAGCATTGCACTAGTAACAACAGGACGCAAAGGCCTTACAAGTGGCTAAAACAGCCAGAGACAATGGGTCATGTCTTTAGTTTGCTAGCTAGCCTCAATGGCCGGGCCGGCTATGCCGCACTCTTAAAGTTACTGCGGGATTTTCTAGTTCATGCTGTTATTCGCATAACATATGCAAATCTTATTGGCCAAGCCCATCATTGCCGTCATGACGTCAGCTTTTGACACGTGACCTTTTTCATTTAGTTGGTTTACTTCTAGACAATTGCTCTAAAACCAGCTCGATGTGATGGGGCGACACGTTGACATTCTGTGGAGTTTCTATGGTCCGTTGAAATCCAGTTTCAAGTGAATCTAAACAGTTTGGCTGTGGGCTTTCGTTTGAGCTTGTTCATAACATATTAGGGTGGGGGGGCAATTCCGAATGGTGTTTGTACCAGTTCTCTAATGCTTTGCCTACAAGGCCACGTACTGATGCTCAGGGTTTTGTTTTTTAAAATCGCACACTATTCATGGTGTGATCTTAGGCTGTATTTGTTCACGCTGCCCCCACTTTGGCTTCTGTAGACGCGAGAAATGCCCCCATGTATTCCACATTACCAAGGATTTCTAACTGACGTGTGGACTTGCTGGACATACCAATAACCAGTTGATCCAAACTGCCTTCGGTGTGTCCGTAGGCCCGTCTGTCCTTGGAGCTGCAGAGGGACAGTCACATCAAACAGCAGCGACTGATCCAGGAGCGCTGGAAGAGGGAAGCTCGACGCGAGGCGACAAAGGCCCGACCCGACCAGGTGCAGCCTCCCGGCTGCCCGGCCCGCCTCACCCAAACCCAATCCGCGGGCCAGCTGCAGCCCCTCGGCCCCCCAGGCCTCTCTGCCGCTGAAGGCGCGGGGAGCCGGGAGAGGGAGTACGACACCTTGCTCTTCCAGCTGCAGACTCGGCAGACCGGTGGCTGTCAGCGTTCGACTCCTCCGTGCCCCGGATCCAAGACCGCCAAAGATGACAAAACTCGCCTGGAAGAACAACAGACCACCATTATTGACCTGCGGCGGCTGGTTGACCACCTGATGGACGAAAACGAGCGGCTGGCGTCTGACAACAAGCAGCTACAGTCAGAGAACGGGCGTCTGCGTGCCGAGGCGGTGGAGGCGGTGGACTTTGTGGAGCGCTCTGAGCTCTGGGTGCTCCCGCAGGCGGGCGGCGCTATGGGGACAGGGAGCGGGCAGGAGAGGAAAGGCACGGGCAAAGGGAAGGAGATCGCAATCCCCCAGCTGCCCCCGCTGGAGATGCCGGCTCGGGAGGACCTGGGTCTGGACGACCTGCCTCCTCTGGAGCTGCCAGAGGACATCAAACACGAACTGCAGGAGCTCCTGGACAGGGACAAGATGACGAGAGATGTGTCTTAAGCACAAGCACAAACCAGTGGCGAGCCTGGACATCAACCCACCGGCTCCGTCTGATCACACCTCGGCTTGATCCGGTGGGGGCGGAGCTATCTTGGGCAGGATGGGGATAAGAACAAAATGCATCCCAGCAATTAGACACCTCCAACGCAATCTCACAAAAAGGAATCGTTCACCCACAACATCTGTGGGAACATTGGGGAGATGTTTTGTTTGGTTATTTTTAATTTTACAGAATTCTTTTGTTTAGTTTTGTCTGCCAGTAGACACAACTCTGAACAACTCGGCTGGCATCATTTCATTGTTCCAAAGCTAAATTATAGAGCTTTTTATCCAATAAGTCAAATTATTTACATAACATTTTGTGAGTGCGTGTATGTCTGATCTGGGAGAGAAGACGAGCACGTGTAGGCCAATGGCTGCAGAGTGATGATCATTTGTACATTACATTTGGTAAACATTAAATAAATAATATTACATTGTTTGTTACATTAGTGGGGGTTTTGTAACATGGAGTTTATTACTTTACTATGTGAGGTGTTTAAACAAATTACTTTGTTTTAACTTTAGAAGAAAAGTGTAGTTTTTGACGTAATATTGTTCCAGGAGATACTCGTCCCACGACTCGTCACTTGATAACCTCCAAACGACTCGTATAGCTTTATGGCTATTAACGTTGTTCCATCATCCCGAGCATCAACACGCCCCCCTGATGTTACACCTCACACTTCCCAGCATGCATGAGTCCAAATGGAGAGGTCGGCACCAACATCCCGGCCCTGTGTGGTGGGATCTGAGTAGTTCTGGTGTTTTGTACGAGGTCTTGTAGACACCTTTCAGTGGTGCCTTTATTCAGAGTCCTTCCACAGATTTCCTCAGCAGTCGGCTCTCCGCAAAGCCGCAGCGTCCTTTGGACGGGAACAGGATGTTTACTCCGTGCCCACATGTTATTGTGTAATGGCTTAGTGTGGATTCACTCAACAACACAAGCTCGCTTGAGTGTTTTAGGATTCTCGTGACTTTGAAGACAACCAAGATGAATATAATCATTTCAGTTCTGGATATTCCAAAATTATAAACATGGTCCAAGCTTGAACTGATTATTTTAGGTGTCTAAAATATGTCTCGTTAGCACAAAGTACTTGTTTGCAGTCTGACTGGCACGTGCATGCAGACCGTCACACGAGGCATTTGTATCAACTTGAGTACTGGAACAATCCAGAAGTATGCAGCTCATGGAAGCTATAAATCAACATAATGTTCTTTGGGCAACCAAACTGGCCCGCGGGCCAACTGCGGCCTACCCGTCATTTACAAATGGACAGAGGGAGTTTTTAAAAATAAACTAGAGGATGAATTGAGATACATCTGAGAATCCGTTGTTTGGAAGCACTTAAACTGATGGCTCATCTACAGTGTAATTTTCTTTTATCAAACTCTTACCAAAGTCACCCAGGGTTTATCAAAAAGAAATGTCATGTATGGATTCCGCTACAATCGTGATTGGAATAGACCGCAATGAAACCGGTTTTGTTTATTGTATTCCATTTCCAATCCACACACATTTTACCCACACAGATAAAAGGAAAACACATAATCCACACAGCAGTGAGTACATAACGCTTTGGTATCAATATTTAGTGGAGAGCATTAAAGGGCGTCGCGACATGAGGAAGTTTGGCTCGTTCTCCTTAAGGTTCGCCCACAAAAATGCAAAGTAGTTTATTCACTATAGAGGCGAGCCCAATGGGAGAAAGAGAAAGTGACGTCTTGATCTCGAGGCGCCACCTCCTCCACAGTCCTGGTCTTACTACTGAATAAACCCAATGTTATTGGACAGGGCTCATTGACAGGAAAGAGGTTGAGGACCACAGGTGTCGGTCAACACATCAGCCACACTTGGATGTTGCTGTGGTCAGAAACCCATTCCTCCCATTCAGAAGGACACGTTGGCCAAAGCCGTCTACTCAGCAGGACCGACTGCAGCTGAATCACAAGCGCAGAGCAAAACCAGCCAAACTTCTAAATGTTAGTATCAGCCTCCGTTGTGCTGCATCCTCCCACAACAAAGTACATTATATCATGAGATGATAAGCAACAGCATTGATAACAAAAGGGTAAATGTGCAAAAACAGGTGGTTAACATACAGAGGACTCAAGACTTGATTCCAAGGTAACACACAGACACACACATTCAATTCAAACAGCTAAAACAAATCCTCCCTGATACTAAGGTGTGTGTGATCAGGACATATAGCATAAACATACGAGTAGTGGGCCTTCATAAAGGCTGGAATTTTGCACAGAGTCACTTTGTTTCATTCATTTGGTTCTCTCTTCCCTTTGGTTCCCTTCGTTGGTGTTCATGGTGGCTTCCCCTCTGACGGCTCTTCTGCTGGTGGTCATGTGTCGGAATCCTTAAGAATCCTAGGTCAGTTCAGGTCAGAGCCTCCCCCTCCCCCATGGCAGGGGATGTTGACTAGACAGTACATACAAGCAACAAGCACTAAAAAAATAAAATACAAAAAAGGAAGCGGAAGCAACGTTTCAAAACCAAGTAGGAAAGATTACTTGGGAGCCATTAATACTAAAACTGTTGGACTGCGAGGTTGTTAAAACATATGTTGGTCTCTGCATCATGTTTACAGTAATGAAAAAAAAACAAGCTCAAGTCCAATGTTGATCTTGCACAGCAGCGAACTGTCTGCAGCTGACGGTGGTGCACAGCTGGAAAGAGCTGAGCGGTGACAGTGAACCACAGCAGTGATTAGACGGTTTGCTAACATTGCCCGCAGCTAGCGCTGTGGTAGTTGGTACCAATTAAAGTGAAGTGTGCCAAAATTCCCTGTACCCAATTTGATCCCACGGTATAAAAAAAACAACTAAATGATAAACACGTGGAGCTAGTGTTAGCATGTTAAAATCCCCTCTGATATCGAATTCAGATTTGTTGGCAAAGATTTTTAAACAATCCAAAAACGTCGGGGTCTCGATAGACCTGCTGGGTCATTCAGGGGTCATTTAAGCTGGTGTTGAACCTCCCAAAATGGCCAATATGAAAATGACACTGTATGATAATCAACTAGAGTTAGTCAACATATCTTCACCTTGTTTGGGTGAAGATATGTTGAGGGGCCACGACAAATAAAAAGGCTACAAAGCAAAAAGCCTCCGCAAAAAGCATTCCTGTGATTTAAGTATTCGTTAAGCCATTAATTAAAGTCCATGGACTCTTTATAAGACCACAAAGTTTGTACGAAATGACACTAAAAGACTCAACAATCTAAAAGACTGCTGGGATACAACGTCAAAACTACTAATTAAATACACTCACAAGTCAATGCAAGAATGTACGGCATTAAACCCAAAAATACATAGAAAGTTCTCAGAGCATCGGTTCTGGTGGCCTCATTGGCATTGGATGAATGAAGTAATAAATATGTCAGAAGAAAGAGCACAGCAGAGAGAAAAGTCCACCAATCAGCACGCTGGTTTGTGTGTGTGTGCGTGTGTGTGTGTGTGTGTGTGTGCGTGTGTCTGCAGCCTCCTTTTCACGCTGCGTAGTTCACAGAGCTCAGCGCCGGTCTCTTCTTGCCTTTAATCTTCAGGGATCCGTAACGAGCCTGGAGACAAAATGACAGTTGTGAAAGTGTCTATGCTCCATCTGTTGTGACGCACAATGCTATTGAAGTACGCGCTACACGTGCACCGAATGTGAAACACTTACGTCTCTGCGGACTCTGGAGCGCGTGATCTTGACACTCTGTGAGCGTCTCAGTCCTTTCTGAGTGACGGCCTCGTCCTCAGAGTAGATGGGCTCGCCCTCCTCCTCACTCCTCTCCTCCTGGTCATAAAAGTAGTCTGAAAAACACACGCGTGTCAGCACAGCACTCGTGGAGATTTCAGACACCTGTTTCCAAGCTGAGGTTCGGATCAACAAGTCGAACAATGCACACGTTGAATAAGTAAAGGCTGCGTTCCACGTCCCTGATCCTGGACCAGCTGGGCACCTGCGTTGGTGGGCAAAGATCTCTGCACAAAGCAGCAGCGGCAATTTACTCTGAATCGCACAGCGACAGCAGGAACAACAGGAGGGCAACAGCACAGCGGCCCTCAGCAGACCAGGAAGTATTCGTTCCATCCTCGCCCCCTGCAGGGAACCTCAGTGATGCCACGCTGAGTCCGATCATAACAGAACCAGCAATAACACAGAATGTGCAGCAGAGATTTGGGGATGGAAACTTTGATTTGACCAGTGGCAGAATATCTTAATTATCGAGTCTACAACGCTATCTTAGAGTGGAGACGCTGCTAATAACCATTAGAACATGGCACATGTTCCTACATAAAAGATGGAAAAGACAGAAATAACAGCACGGCAGCCAAATAGTGCGCACGTGGACCGAGAAATGAAATGAGAGAACATTTGGTGGATGATCACACTTTGCGTGGATGGGCGGCGGACTGAGACAGCAGGTCCAGCAGAGGTCAGCAGACACCAGCACTAAATGAGAGGACGTTTGACCACAGGTTCCCCAAACAAGAGCTTGAGGATGAAGAGCGTCGCCCTCACATCATTTATAGCGACGATGCACACCTTCTACTAGCACCCATCCACGTGTTCACCAACATGCTACGGTTCTACAAATAAAGTTGTATACATCAAGAGATTAGAGATGCAGGAGGGAGTAACCTCTCACTGCAGCACCTGCTCTCCAAAATCTAAATGTGGTCTATCAGGTGTGCTGGATGAACCGTCACTGCACCACAGAGGTGTGGGGTCCTCCCCCCCCCACCACCACCCTCTGAACGCTATGTTAGTGCAGGTGCCCTGTGCTCACACCTGCACACTCGCCTGAGAGAGACGCTGCGGAGAAGAAGACCTCCAGCAGCGGTGAAGGCCGAGTTCTGTTAGATGAACTGAAGTATTTAAGCCAATCAGAAGTCTGACTGGATAACTGCAATTTGATTTCTATGATAATCCAAACGCAAATTGGAAGACTTGGACTGTAAGAGTGCTCTGGAGCTCCTACCTAAGAGAAGAGTGGGACCAAGGAAACAAACACACGGAGGAACAGAAATAAGGGCCAGTGTGTTCTTACATTGCTTCCTGAATGAGGGACAATATTGTTGCAGTAATGGTGTCCATCCGGGTTTTCAAAGCCAAGGGAATGTTTGCACAGCCATTTGTTCTGGTTCGAGCTCCCGCTGCTGCTGCCACATCTGGAGTCAATTAGAGGAACCTCCCACTCTCCAGAGCTGAAAGCAGCGTTTCTCTCACCCGAGAGGAAGCAGGGCGGGAGGAGACGGGGGCGACTTTCACATGAGATCCCACATTCCAACACAAGACCAACTATACCATCTGAATACTGTGCAATGCTCAAAATCACAATTCACACACGTACTTCTGAAATAGTTCAGTCCTGGGACTCCACAGTAACGACTGCTCATCTCCACACCAGGCAGTCCAACACCCGCCCCATCCTGCTTGGCTCCCACCACCATGAGGAAACACAGGAATGACATGTTCCACACCAATGTTCCAGGTTGGAATGTGCAGAACCAATTCCAGCCATTCCACTGAGTCCATTCTGTGCAGAACGCTCCAATTTCCTGTCCAAGCTTCAGGCTTTATTAAGCGGAGCTGCTGCAGCCGGTCCAAAGTCAACACAATGTTTACATTGTCTCGGCATCGACTTATAGTGTGCCATAGAATCTTCTGATGACACCCTCCAAAAACACCCGGAGGAAGTCCCCCTGTCATCAAAGTACACCTGATGTATCTTTGGACAAGGGAGGGGCACCACAGAGCGAGCCAGTCTACCTGCTGCTCATCGGCTTTCCCCAAATACAACACGGCTAAGCTGCCAAAGATCAAAACGTTGGACTTGTACTAAAAGATTTAGTAAGTAGCAGTGGGCTTTTCCATTTTGCAACGTTCTATTTACTTAGTTCTAAGGGATTCATGCAAATACTCCTCCATCTGAACTGAATGTCGGGGTGATGTATGACCATCCAACACAGCCAGAACGGAAAAGACTTCCTCTTTTAACAAAGGCTTTTGTTTGAATTATTCTTCTGTTTAATATATAAGGTTTATTCTCATCACTGGAAACAAAGGCTTCCCCCCCATTTCGGTCAGACTAAATAAAGCAGTTTAATCACCTCGATCAATCAATGGTCCAATGTTAAAAGTGATAAACCCTGGTCGGCCACATCTGGACACCTTTGTTTAATGTTGTCGCTCTAATCTACTCTCCAATTATACCCCAAAAATACATACATTTCATCGGGGCAATGGGTCCATGGAGACGGACAATATATGAAAGCAGCTGTAGTTTAAAAAAACAGGGCATGTGTTGGGAACTATTTTCAGCAGCGGATTACTCCACACGTCTCTCGTGTGTATTTGTGGCAGCAGGACGGTGTGTGTGGGACCAAATCAAAATCAACTCCAAAGTGTCCGTGGTGATGAAGGAACAGGTCATCCGGTGCAACAGTGGGACTCATTGATGTGACTTGGAGAATAATGGAGCTCTTTGACACAGAGGAAGAAGATATTTACGCTTTGATGCACACACAAGTTGATACTTGCATTGAGGAGCGGACTCTGCTGATGGGATTTGATGAGTAAGATAAATATAGAGTTATTGAGTTATCCTTAGAGTCATATGTTTAACAAAACAATCATTTGGAGAAATCCATAGTCGCCTACAAGCCAAGGACTAACGTGACCAGCAGAGGGTGTGAGACGTCAGGTGGCAGATCCCTTCCACAGCCACGAGGAGCGTCTGAGGGCAAAGACGTCCCTTCCTGCCTCATCTCTCTGCTGAGCTGAATACATAACAGCCTTTTCCTCTTTCAGTATGCTAATGCTCGCTTCCCTCCGCCCAGCCGCCACTTGTTCCTCCAATTCACTCCCTCAGCATCCATCACTTATATCTTCGCTCGCCTATACATTCATCTCAGTCGTGTCCTCCACCCCCATCCCCCCACTCTCTCCCTCTCCACGCCCCACTGGCTGGCTGTGTGTGTTTGACAAAAAGATAGAAAGAGAGAGTGTGTGTGTGTGTTTGACATTCCACTAGCATCCAACTCAACCTCATCCCCTCTGTCTGCTGGGAATGCACACACGCGCCAGCCAGTCTGCAGGTTTAATCAAAAAAAAAAAAAACGCAGAGTGGAAGGAGACCTACAAAGACGAAACAATAAACTGAGCCAAAAATAGTCTGCTATTTCACCTGAAAGTGTGGATATTCAGAATAGAATGTATGAACAAAAGGAACCTCTCGAGTCCACCTGCACAAGTTAGGCTGACATCAAAAGTCAAACAGTCTGTTTGTGTCCCCTGCAGGAAATAGATGAGTGCATTGTGCAGGCGCTATGAGAGCATGGTCAACCTTCTTATTTATACTTAACACCACCACGGATCCCACCATGCTTTGAGTGAGTCAGTGAGCTTACAGCTACTTGGTTACACTTCTGCGGGTTCCTGTTTAAACTGGAAGCTGTCTGCATAACTTTTAATGGGGGACAAAACATCTTAACAAGGTGGTTATGAGGAATTAACTTAAGTTGGCTTATCTGGCTCGGATTCACATATTTTCTCCCCTTTTATGGGGGTGACTCATTTGAAAATTCTTACAAGACAACACCTTGACTCAATGTCTACATTCTAGATTAATTACTATAAATTATTATTATAATTATTGTTAATGTAGTTATTATTCTCATGAATTCTCCTTAAATCATGTAGAACAGGACGAGTTAGCATGTGTTTTTAGATGAAGCCAGCGCTGCATTCTGTTTACTCCATCAACATGGCGTCCACTAACCAATGGGCGACTATTGGGTGTCCACTTCTAATATACAGAGCTTATCATGTAGGCAGCATTATAGCATGTTCCAAACAAACACACATGCACAGGGCATGATAACGGTTATCCTTAATAACAAAAAGATATACTGTTAGTCAAGTATAGCGTGTGTGTGTGTGTGTGTGTGTGCGCGCGCCCCTACCATCTTTGTCGGCAGCGTCGGTGCTCTGAGATCTCCTGGCGGCGGGGTTGGCTGAGTGGGAGCTGTACTGGTAGAGTTGGTTTCCTTCTCCTTCGCCCTGCTGGCCAATTTGTGTGAGGTCGTGCATACTCAGGCTACGCAGCTTCTCGGTGATGGCGCCCTGGCCCTGATACGCACACAGACACACACACACACACGTCAATACTACATCAGCAGCGAATAGCACGTCCAACCCCCGAGAACCAAAGGGCGAGATCCAACACACTGATGGAGTGAGTGGTTGTCACTCTAACTACCGACTGCTTCCCTCGACATCCAAAGGCGGAGAAAAGTCGGGCGGTTCTAACTGAATGTGTGGAGGTAAAAAACAAACTCACTATGGGTGGGAGCAAAGTGTGATGTGATTCCAAGAGACTTGTTACAACTAGTTTGACAAATTAGGAAGTTTGAATTGGCCCGAGCTGAATTTAGAACTAAAAAAACTAAAACTACTCTGAATTACACCGAGGGATGTTTGGGTGCGATCTGGTCATGACTTGACCAGTGGTCGTGGAAATGATGAGGCAAATAAATAAAAGGTCACTGCAAAGTACTACTAAAGCACATTAAATGCTATGATTATTAGGGATATTATTATCAAGAAAGCAAAGCTCTACAATGATGAGGATGAAAACAGTTGACAAATCAGCAACATGGGATCAACAAAAAAACAGCACAAGAAGAATGAAATGCGTCACAATGAAATTAAAGGTTCAAGCATGGATAACAAATATTATTTCAAACCCTCCTTTGATTCTAAACAATGCGTTACGATGCTTTATTTAAACTATGAACCAGATGCAAATAATCACCGAGATATAAGCAGGTCTGCTAAAAGAACAGAAAAGCAAAGGTTGGGGGAACATGGTGTCATGGGATAAGAGTTGTGGTATAAAATAGAAAATGCTGTCCATGCTGCTTACACTGCTTTTATCTCCCAGAGTAGCCTGGTGAATCACACACACCCTGAAGAAAGAAGGACGCCAGTACAGAGAGAAAAAGAGAGAAACAAAGTCACAAGCGGGTTAGCTAGTGAGTGCGATGGGCAGAACCAAGAAAACATCATCCTGACCAAACAATCAAAGAATAGAAGTCAGACCGCCTTCCCCTCCACCGGCTCCCAACACAGGCTTCAAACCATATCAAGCACTAAGCCGGAGTAGCACGAACGGGGGTGATGGTTTCCAAACGTATCCGTCCCCGACCCTCCACACCAAATGGCAGCCCCTGCGTTGCAAAGCTGCTCTGAAAACACTGGCGTACTGTGGACGCTCAGTGTAAACGGAGCAAAACGTATGCGCTTTCAAACAAAAACTGAGGTGGTAGACGGGTGCGTTGGAAGTGCCATGCCGCTGGTTGTATTGCACAAGCAGAGCGTATCAAATTCAAGCTTAAAACGCTGAAAGATTTTAAGGGATTTGAAATTGGACTGTGACCTAAAAGTGTGACGATAAAACCTAGAAGCAGAGGAAATAGAAAGAAACAGACAAGCAACACGTTCCAGATGAAAAGAAAGAGAGACAAGCACTGATCACTGGCAGGTTTAACGTGAGCAGACTATAAGGACGCGTGCACTGCCAGTGTTTCCCCTACCATTATATAGTGGGATTACATAGGGAGGGGTGGGCCGCCCCCTCTATGTAATCCCACCAGCGGACAGAGAGCACACATTGTAAAACACCATATCCCACATGCTACCTCTTTCAGTCGTGTCTCTCTTATGCACTGATCAGGCTAATGTAGCCTAGATGTGAACCTTCACTGGTTGAGGCCCAGTGGCTGGATTACCTTGTGCAGTGAGAAATCAATGGGGATTATCCAACACCCTCAGGTACTAACGCCACACCAATGAACGGTTTTCACACACACTTTGTTTATGCTGCTGGAGGGACACGCTCACAGCGGATACATCCGTCACGTTCATTAGCACACCAGTCCCACCACGTCTGGGTGAGTGGTCTCTTGCGTGTGGTTTAGCAAAGGTAGACCGTTCTATGCTGACATGTTGGATTTAGACAGTCTCTTTAAAACTTGCACCCTGCCACTTCACCGTTTCCCGTTATATTATAAACTCCTTTGTGTGTGAGTGTATTACACACTACTTATTGGTAAATACAGAAGGGGAGGTACCAAACAGCACGTAGCGTAGGACACTTGCCTTGACAGCTGCAGTGACGGCGGCCGTGGCTGCTATGCTCAGTCCCTGCCTGCCAAAGTTGACCATGGTCTCATAGCTCCTCTCTTTGGCCTGCACAATGTAATCATCGATTTCCTGCAGGGGACAGAAGCAGACGGTTTCACCGAGGACAAAGTAGTGCAACAATAATATTCTATTCAGAGGATACGGACGGACGGGTGATCTTACCCGCTCTCTGGAGGACAGCAGAGGGTGCAGACACTTCCTGTAAATGAGACTGGCTCCTCTTGTGTAGGGGGACAGCAGCCAGATCACAAAGGCTATTTTCAGCTCATAGTAGAGAGGAAACCTGGACACACACACACACAAACAAAGGTGGAGCATGCCAACATTAATAAGGAAGTTGTACCATTGTACTTTGTGTCATTAAAGCCCAGTTTCACAGGTGTAGATTATATAAATAGAGGATGAAAAAGGAACAAACAGATCAAAAAGTAGTTTGCTTTCTATTGGTGCTTTTTGTGTTAAACTTCTTTTGCTCCCGGTTTGGTCAAATGTCGAGCGACTCGTTGATGAAGCACTACGATGGAGAGCAGGTGTTGAGTGTGTGGAGTTGAGAACATGAGAATTGTGTGTTGCAGGGTCGCGTTGACAAAAAGTGTAAATAAAAAGGACAGAAATTACTAAAAGCATTTGTTTTTTAAGACGGAGAGGAACAGGGTGAACATAGTGGCGCATCAACGAGTCGTCAGAACACAGAAAAGTTGACAGGTGACGATAAAGAAAAGGGTTTCATTTCTCTGTAAGGATCTTTTCATGCTCTTGGACTTTTGAATAGATCAGTTGACACTTGAATGACGAATACAAACACTCCACTGGGGATTGAATCCTCTCGTAACCAAATAGTGCAAAGATGATGATTAAGTGAGCTTTGTGTCTGTATGTGTGTGACTCACCAGGCTAGTGTGAGGTCGGTGATGGTCTCCACCACAGTGTAGAGGGCAAACACAATCCAGTACATCATCCATCGTACCTACACACACACACACACACACAAACAGAGAGTACAATGAACAATACATCTGCTTGATACAAAACAAATGACTTCCAAAACCTCTCATGTCAATATTGGCGGACGTAGTGGACTCAAGTGGTAGTATAGTAAACACATTCCCATTAGAAAACCTCTCATGCTTCAGCAGCAAAAAGTGTGACGTTCAGACCCGGTTCTGGTTCTCCCCCCCCCTGGCAGACCCAGCAATGGAGGCCAGCGGCGTGGCAGAGAGGAGAAGCTCTGCTCCTGGCCATAGGAGGAGACCCAGCGGCCATCCTCCTCCTTCTGGAGCTCCTCACTGCAGGTACAGGGCCGTAGTGAGGCCGACCCGATGGCCCCAATGACCAGCCATGAGAAGGTCTACAGTCAATCTGCTAGTGGATGTTCAGATTGACATAAAGACACCAGTACGGTCTCATAGCAACGTTTCTCACAGTCCCTTTACAGTATTAACTCAAATTGCTGGTGGGTAAAATGATAATCTTAATGCCAAGCACCAGCATTTAGACTTAGACGCTCACACTACGGACCTTTCAAAATACAATACAGTAAGTGAAGGCTTATGCATGTAGGATTTATCCCGCTGTATCTAACTTGCAGACTCTTAAACTCGAGTATGAAGCGAACAGGGAACATCGGTCTACCTTTACACCGCTTCTGGGAGACTTAACTGTGCCAAAAATAGAGCTGGTATCGTTATCACAGTAAGCTGAGAAAAGAGATTCAGATCACAACACATGTTTACAATGTTTGCTGAGGGAATAAATCAAGAGAGCGAAGTAGTCTTTTTCTCATAGACGTCTATGGCACCAGAGAAGGCGCCCCCTGTTGGTCAGCCGAGATGATGCCAGTTCATTGTATGTAGGAGCGCCTCTCCTGACTGAGAATGTTTAGAAAATGGAATAAGTTTTCACAGATGTGTTTATTCAAATTGAACAAAAAGCCAAAAGACATGGTAAGAGCTGCAGGATGTGAGATTCATATTCGTCTCTTTTACACCAACCCCGTTTCCCTCTCAGGCCTGTTGTCGGCAAACCGAGCTTCAGGGTTTGATTCCGGTCTTTGGTTTCATGCTGGATTGTGCGGCCCTGCTGCTCCCTGCGTCCCCTTTCAAGGGCTTTCCGAGCTCTTCTGCGCCGGATCTACATATCAAAGCCGGCAGTAGACGGTGGCTGGAGGGCAGACGGTCACATGGCAGGCTAGTGGTATTAGCCAGCCCCTACTATTGCCGCATGACTGAGCACACACTAGGCACTAGGTAATGAAATGTCAGTGTGTGTGCAAGTGCAAAAGAGGGAGAACAAGAGAGGGACACACAAAACATATTTCACACACTCACCTGTCACACAAACTCTCAGAATACACACACGTCTGCAACCCAACTCACATTTCTTCTGGACTGGTTAATTGGTGACACACACACACACACACACACACACACACACACACACACACACACACACACACACACACACACACACACACACACACACACACACACACACTGGATGTAAAGAGAAAGAGTGGAACTGAGCCGGCGAGATGGAGAGGACATCTCATTTGGACATTTCTGTCTCTCTTTTAATGTCTCCCCTTTTATCTTCAACCTCATATACCTTGAAGTGTTCTTCCTTTCTCTCGCTCTCGATCTTCTGCTCCCTACTTCAACTGATGAGCGGCCGAAGACATTAAGAGGTGACCTCAGTGAAATATACAGCAGCCATTTTGACTTCCTGGGGCAATCGTAGACATTTACTGGCCCCGTCCCGAATAACTGCCTTCCATTAAGAGAGAAGGGGGACAAAGGACCTGACATCAGCCCTTTATAGCCAAAGGGCCCTCTACTACTGTTAAACCTGGTAGGGAGAGCGGGGCAGCTCAGCACAATGACCAATAAGGACTGCACCGGTTTCATTCAGCAACACAATTTGGGAAAAAAGGGGCATGAGGGCTGCGCTTGTTTTCCTTTATACATGAAAGAGGAATATTTGGTCAGTAACATGTGACTCGGTCAAATGTTATTTGTGTATTATTACAAAATACTTCTTTCGTTTATGAGGGTTTGGGTACAAGTCCATTGAAATCTTAAGTAGAGGTAGAAATGATTGTATGCAGGAGTGTTGTGTTGACTGTAAAAACAGCTGTAAGTCTTGTTTGCTTGCGTGGAGCGACTGATTGTCTTGTTGTTGTGTAAATGAACCTTGGGCTGTTGTGTGCACATCTCCCCTCTCACAGACCTCACTGCCCCCATTAGCATTTGGAGGTCGGTCGGTCGTCGAGCTGGGCAACGAGTAAGGGCTGGATGCACTTCAAGACCAGGCATGGGCGGTTCTGTTTAAACTACATTACGTGCGTGTGCAGACACCTCCACGGACCCGGCATACGCATCCACCCACTGCTTCAAACTCAAAGGGCATCGGTCCTGCCTTTCCTGGTGGACTTTTTAATCGGAAACATATGCAGGACTTTTGGGTCCCCCGATGACATTGAGGTTTAAAAAGAGACTGAAAAAAAAAAAGCTTGTGGAAAAAATATTTTTTTTAAAAACAGGGAAAGTGTGGTGAATCATGAAGGACAGAAAATAGTTTTTCGCTGCATTGGCGCAATTTTGACACGCACACGGCGCTCTGAAGGGCGGGGCTTCAGCGCTCATGGTCGGCAGGAGCAGGGCACACAGTTGGCTGATGGGTGCTGCTCATGGCCGGCTAACCAGGAGGCAAACTCAGACTGATGTGGAAGCGTCCTAAACCCTGCATTCTTTCTCCTGTTTGTAAAGAAGTCTGAGAATTACTTTAATAATTACTCTACATCTCTTGATTGATTCACGTCAGCAAACATTCTAAACATGAGTTTGTGGTTTTAATCTTTAGTTTCAAGGCTTCTTCAACACACATGATGTTCCTTTAGAGTCAAATAGCAGTATGCTTTAGGGTGGGCTTACTGTGATTATGAGGTCCCAGCATTCACTTCACTAACATGCTAATGTAATAACTAATATCTTATAACACACAAACTACAATTCTAACACTAAACATTATTACACACAGTATAATTTCCACCACTGGGTGTGCTCTTCTTGCTTAAATCAGCTTAAAACAGTCCCTACGTCATTCCACGTAGGTAACCTCCGCTCATCCGTGGCTCAATAAACAACAACGCTAAATCACGCAACTAGGCCTCTAAAAGGTGCTCTACAAACGGTGGCATCACTGTGACTACGTCCACCTCGATGCGCTCGGTGTTCTCTATGCGTGTTTGGGACTTGGATGAGTGAAGCGTGCGAGCAGTGACACCACAGGACAGGTTTTCCGCCACTGCACTAATTATACTGAGTTTAGCTTGTGATGTGTACAGGTGACTCCACCCTCGTCACGGGGTGTTCTGGCTGTGGAACACTGTTACACAACGTGCAGGACAACAGCTTAAATGGGTGTCTGACAGCACATCAAAAAATGCAGTGCTTTAATTATTAGAGGATTTATCTATGACATTCTAATAGAATTTTAAAAAATCGTAATATTGTTTAAAAACTAAGAAGGTGGTAACAACAGACATGTCTGGGATCCAGAGCGCTCTACATAGAGGCCCATCTGTCTGAAACAGAGTCAAACAGAGTAGCCTCGGGGTCAGAGGCTTTAAATGCCCTCATTCAACGCGCATCATTCCTGTGTCAACACTGGGTATCACAGACGGAGGGCGGGGGAGTGGACAGCCACGCTAATCCCAACTGAATGCTGTTCACTTCTGTTAATGAGCTGGAGGGGGAGCGAGACTGCCTTGACTTTCACCAGAGCAGAGTGTTCTACACGCAGGAGACATGACTGGTAGCATGTTGCCAGGTGTGTCTTGTTGCGCACACACACACACACACACACACACAAATACATTGTGAAGGAAAAACAATGAAAAGAAGAAGTGAGCGATGGGAGACGGCTTCGTCGTGAACCGGAGTAACCGATCTCAAGTCTCATGGAACCAGCCACAGGCCTGTTCCATCAATCCTTCACAGGTCAGTCTGCTGAGTGGGTTTGGCTAGATGATGGTGGCAGCCACCACCGTCAAATGAGATCCCGTCTTCATACACTGATTAAGCTCTCGCCATGACATTCTCTGACGGGGACATCAAGTGTAAAGCCTGAGGTTGAGGCTTCCATGCAGGTTGAAAAGGTTCAGGTTAAAAGACTTTACTTTTAATCCCACAAGGGGGAAGGATTTCACTACAGCAGCATTTATATATACGGGTAAAGAGCTTAGAGTTAAATTAGAGATTTAAAAAAAAACAAAAAAAAAAAACAAGGAAAAGAATATTTAATAAAATGTGCTTTGGGCTTAGTTTTTAACGATTGATTTTATCCATTAGTACTTTGTATTATGCTTTTTCATGCGGATTTGAGATTTTTCAAGAACCATCTTTGGTGAACACACCGTTTAAGGTTCCTTAACTGCAGTAGTCATACAACTTTTACTTTTCCTCTACCCACCAAACAGAAGTGTACCTGAGCATAAGTGCCGGCAGATAGAGCCACAGAAGCAGACGACAAGACAAAGAGTCTGAGAGCTGCTGGGTTTAAACTCTGTGTGAATGTGTTACTCTGAGAGGATTTCACTCTCACTCAGTGTGTTTACATGATGGTATAATTTGAATCTTTGCTTAGTCGCACTATGCTATCTTTCGGGGCAAGTGCTATTATCCCAATATACATGGCAGTGAATAAATCGAATCATTGGCCGAAAGAATGTCATATCCGATACGATAGGTGGCGCTGTTTTCATTACAACTAGTTGTGATACAGCCATTTCCGCTTGACCGCTTCACCACTACCAACAACAACAACATCAACATCACAAGAAAGATGGCGAACGGAGAGCAAGGTGAAGCTACATCCCTCTACTATGTGTGCATGATGTTAACAGGAGCACAGCGAATGCGAATGGCGCTATTGGCTGATTTGATAACGGAGAGAAGACGCCGTCGGGATCTCAAGCATTCGCAAAGACGCAAAGTCCAGTTCCTCATCCGAATCACCGTTACATGCAGCAATAGTCCAACTATCAACTGGATCGGATCGAGTTATCCAGGGGTGTTAATCGGATCGTAGTCGGACCGCACAGTCGGACAAAGGTGTTTACATGAAACGGATAATTCGATTTCAGTCCGACTAAGCCAGTTAATCGAATCCATGTAACCACGCTGTGTGGCATTACTTACATCAGCCAACTTCAACAAAAAGAAACCTTCGCAGCCTCACATTTATATGCATGTATATGTTCCCATCATACCCTTCCAAGAGAAATGAGTACAAAGACCCAAGACACCCATTGTGCTATGAATGACGTGGCAAGTGCAGCCAAAGTCAGCAAACAGACACAAACCCCACAGTGTCCTCAGGTGACACAAGGATCTCATCAACATTGCTGGCAGGGTTGCAGCTGGGAATGAAAGACAAGGCCATTAAAAGTACGTTGAAGAACCAGTAAATGGGCTGACCCTCTGCAACCTTGTTCATTACAACGTAAATGTACATTTAAACAAGGCCACCAACTGTGTGAGCTCCTTTCTCATGTCACATCCTCAGGCTTACTGGAATCACAGCTTCTCAAGTGGACTAGGGAAAAGATTTGTATTAGATTCCAGAACTTCCAATGTATGTTTGACTCTTCTGCATTTTACATTATGGGAGAATCGGAATCATTCAGTTCTGCCTCTTGTAAAATGAAAGAAGAATATGTGACAAACTAGAGTCCATCAGCGGCTGTTTTTGTCCTTTTATTTTGCTTAATCGAATAGTCTGCATAAACCACGCATGAGTAAAGCACAGTTGGAAGCCAACAGGAACAGACGTTGGGGTTGGGCCATATCAGGTACGTCCTGTATTCATACCCAATGAGTCGACTTAACATGTCGCAGACAGTCTTTTCTGTATCTACCCATGATGAAGGAATTTAATTGTTTTCTTATTGCTTAGAAAAGATCTCCAAATTATTATTTTTAATTAATTAAAGAAGAGGTGTGGCTGTCAGTGGGATCCCCCTGAGTGCAGATCTATCAGACATTAACTGTTAGTAGGACAACACGCGGCCTAATTCTAGTAGTTTAGACAGAGATGTTCAGATACGTGCTGTCATTGTTGCCCAATAAAGCACAGAGATCAACAGACAGAGGCCCCGCCTCCAGAGCCTGGAGCTCGCACACTGAACTGATTGGTCCACAAACACTGAGGGCGTGTTTTCATCTCTAGACTGGACGTACCAACCCGCCGCATGCAGGTTCTCAATGAAGGTAGCAAGCATCAAGTGGCCCACTTAACTTCATAAGGGCTCAAATGACATCACACGCACAGAAGACAGCTTCTGTTTTTGTTGACATGAACGCTGCGCTCTCTGCACAGAGAGGTGGAGGCAGACAGAAATCAGAAATAACAAGGAGCACACCAACAACCCGTAATAGACCAACTACCCTAAATACAATAAGAGACTCTGTACTGGGCAGCACAAAGTATGTAACGTTCTGCTTTGTCAAAATAGCCTTTACATACATGTGAACGTTGATGCTTGTTGGGCTTTGTGTTCATGTGTGTGTGTTTGTAGTCGAATCGAAGAGAGATTCGGGCTTGTTGTCCACACATGTTGAGTGTGTAAGTGTGTACTTACATATTCCTTGACGTTTTTGGTCTTGACAGCTTTGTAAGAGTAGTATGCAGGATACAAGGTCCCAAATAACAGCCTGCAGGGAGAGAGAACACACAACATGAAGCCTTTCATTTCATCACACTCACATGGCAAATAAGCCCAACTACCTTCTGATGGAATTTGTGAACCTGGAAACTTTTATGCCAGCATTGTGAGAACACTACCGCCTGGAAGTGGGGGAGCGCTTTCCACAACAATTTAATGAAGGGTTTGAATAGCTTACAGCAATGCATCAAATCCCCGTTTCCTGTTTAAAGCACACAAATTGTAGCCAGAGAATACAGAGACTAAGTATATTTTACACTCAAATCAAAAATGTCAGTACGGAATACTCAAAAGAATACTGGGGCCTGTTTTTCACAGTTAAAGGACATCATCTGAGTGATGATGATCAGTTCTGACCCACAGTCTAAAAGCCATTGGAACACAAGGCCATGACTCAATGTTTCCCCTGTGAATCAGCGGTGAGGGGTAATGTGGGATTTGGGTCCCTGTTCTGGTCCAGTGCAGGTTTACACAACACCATTAAGCGCTTCTTTTGTAGCGAGATAATAAAGTATTTGCAATGTACAAAATAGATACATTATTTTAACGTGATTTTAAACAACCGTTTGTAAAGCTGGAGTAGAGACAAATGCCCAGAACAACAACTTTAAAGCAGTGTGAAGGACTTGGATATCAGCGCTGACCAGAAGCTGGTTGAAGGAATGAAAGAGGCCGGCTGTGTTCACACACTGGGGGAAAACTAATGATATATAATATAATATATATACACATACAGTGGTATGAAAAGGTTTGGGCACCCCTGATCATTTAAGATTTTTCTTTATGTATCATTGGTTGTTCGGAACAGCAATTTCAATTAAATATATCATATAGGATTTACAGAAAGTGTGCAATAATTACTTAAACAAAAGTAAGCCGGTGCATAAAAATGGGCACCCTTGTTGTTTTATTATTTGAATACCTTTAGCACTAATTATTGGAACACAAAATTTGTTTGGTAAGCTCATTGACCCTTGACCTACATACACAGGGGAAGCCAATCATGAGAAAGGGTAAGGTGGCCAGTTGCAAGTTGTTCTCCTCTTTGCATCTTCTCTGAAGACGGATTCCCTTTAGGGGAAGGATACAAAAAGCTAGCTCAGATATTTCAGGCAGAAAAGAAGCTATCTGGGGAGTCGTGCTCATGTTAAATCAATCAGAGCTGTGGCTCAGTGGACAATTAAAATTTGTCTCTATACGGAATTAAATAATTAAAAAAAAAAACATGATTTAGAGTTATTAATTCTTTAGTTTAGTTGTGTTGGTTTTAGAGGGAAAAACTCCAGATTAGTTTACTAACCTGATGTTAAACATGACAGCTAAGGGTGAGCGCTTTTATTTAGTGATCAGTAATGAATTAAACAACTTGAATAGGAAAAGTAAAGATTGACCTTGGGTTCAGATTTCTGACCCACATCCACAACTGGGCAAGATTAATAAAAGAATAAAGGACCAACCAACGAAAGACTACACTCCGTAGCAAAGGCAGTTTGTGCACAATGCACAGGATTGTGAAAAACAACTTAATCAATTCATAGGACATGCTATACATCCTCCCCTCTCTTCAATTCTCACATAAAAAACACAATATTTGGTAACATCCTGGATCTTTTCCCATCGTTTAGAGTGGGTTAGGGTTACCCTAAACTGCACACAACTTGTTTGACGCACTTCTTGCGGTCAACATTCAAAAAAGATTAAAAACCCTTCCATGGGGAAAAAAGGGAAGAAACCTTAAGAGAGAACGTCAGACCATCAACCAATCTTATTTAGGACATATTGTGGACAAATGGATTGCCTGTGATAACTGCAGGAGAGCAGGTGGAAATAAAATCTCTTTGCACTGCAATTTGTGAACAGTTCTTAAAAAAAAAAAAAAAAAATAACTTACAAAAAAGAAAAAAAAGGTACTAAAAGCACTTCCTATATCATCACAGGGGAAAACCACCGGCTTAATCCGACACAGTGGATTTTTCAAAAGACAAAGATACTATGTAGTCCAATCGCAGCGTCAGAAAAGAGGTCTTGTTTTAGCCCAACCAGCGGGTGGTTGGAATTTTATTGTTCACATGTTTCAGCTCCTGATGAGGATGCATGATACCCTTGTCTCTCACAGTGACACGGCCTTGATGTGGTTGTAGGGGGGGAATGACTGCAGGAATCGTCAGTCAATTCAAAAGCACCAAAATGTGGATGCTTTCAGACACACTGTGGCCTCTATGCAGACACACTGACCAGAGTTCCTTCAGCAGAGGGCCGGCCGCCAACAACCGCAGCAGTTTATTTTCCTGCTGTTGCTATAGAAACACCAAGGCTGCCAGAGCCTGCATGCTCGCTCTTCACGTCTCCACCTCACTGCTAACTCGCTGTGCTTTACTTGCACAAACGTAGATAGAGATATGGCCAGACTGTCCGTCCAGATTCAAAATTGATGTGAGACACCGGAACACAAGTCAGTTTGTACTGCTCAGTTGTGAAAATCTACAGGGGACTTGTAGGCCTTTTGTTTTGGCTGGTGGTTAAAGAAAGGCGGTTGCTAGTGCAGCGATAATAGCAGGTAATTGCTCCTAATTTGGTTGGACTGGAGTGCATGTAGTCAGAGATAAAGACAGCAATAAACAAGCCGGAAAATAAAAACGTTAACCAGCGCATGTCACCCCCCGGTTGATTTGGACGTTTAACACCCGGTTGATGATTGTAATTGTATTTTCAAAACCTACTTGTGAGTGATGCCATTTTGTTCATCACATGTGATGATAGCTGCCAAAAAGGACAGCTTTTAAGAGTTTGTCTGGTTGTCCACACGTGTCAAAACAAACACCATCAACAAAACATTGACAGGAACCGAGAATTTCAGTGTTCCAGGCAAAGAACAGCCATGTTAATGGGTCATTCTGAGCCGCGATAACGTCAGAACATGTATAACGCTGCCGTGGGCCGCATTCACTCACTTCAAGTACCTACTGACCCACTACCAGCAGTGATATTTGTTATGAAACACTGTTTTCTGGAGAGGAAAGCATTACTACTGCCATGGTTTATTGCATAGTGATAAAGCATACTGCACACAGACAAAATAAACTAGGGCAGCAACAACAAAAACTAAATTTGATTATTAAGAGTTAGAAACAAATTTAATTATTGATTTGTTAAGTCATGCGATTATTCGGCCCCTCAGTAAGGCAGGATACTGGTTCAAAGTGTACAAGATTTACATACTGTATGAATTTCTCACGTACCATCACACCGGTGTTACGCTATAAAAATGGTCTTTGCTCTTCTGCAGGCGGCAGAATTTGTTTTTACACGTCATTGCAGAGCGCACAGAGGTCGGAGATAGTAGTCTTACGTGCGTCGAGATGGAGTCATGGTTATGACTTCTTAACAACAATGAATAACTCACAGCAAACTCTTCAACAGGGTAAAACACCACGACACAAATTGTTTATGTGTCACAAGCTGTTGTAACACTAATTGTGGATTTATAAAAAAATTACCCCGCTGAACTGCATTCGGGGTACAGCTCACAACAAGAAGTAACTCTGTTGCTTATGAAAACACGGAAAAGAGCGATACAGGAGGAACAACGAGAGACCAGAGATGCACCAACACAACTTGTGCCCAAGAGAGGAGCTGTGTCTGTTTGGAGGGTTTTGAAAAATCTGACGTAAGTTACGTTAGATCAGAAAACAATTTATTGCAAAGGCTGTCGAGCCTCGGTGGCAACACTAACAACCGCAACAAGCTAACAAGCTAACTCACAGGCCCGTAACGAGCGACCAACAATCTAAATAAAATAAATCAGAAACAAAAAAGTTCACCGTGGAAACTAAGACACATATGTCAAACTCAAAAGGGAATTTTGAGGCTTGCCACTAGGAGGATCTCGGCCCTGTTGTTGTTTTTAACGTGCGGGTACCGCGGCACCTTTTTATTACCGATACACAGTGCAAAATCACTCAGTACCGCCACCAAGTTGGTACCAAATAAAAAGTACCTTCATTGAAAACAAGAAAACTTGACTTGTGTCTACCACTATCGCATATTAAAAAGCCGTTTTTGAGAGTAACAGACCAGAAATGAAACCCAGTGTCTCCATAAACCAAGCTCACAAAAAGAAGTGCACTGACATATTTGAGACAATTTAATGAAAAGCTGGGCCCTTCTCCATTCCAAAACTACCATCTCTGTATTTCCCTTCTCCCCTTCCTTATTTTCGTCTCTTGCCATTTCAATACCTCTCCCCCTCTCCTTGCATGCAGCTGAGAAAATAGCTTTTAGATTGACCTGGAGCCCAGAGTCAAGGTCTATTTCCCCAGTTTCCTGACACCATACACCACCAACAACCAGATGGAGGGGGGGGAGGACAGGACGATAAGAGAGAGAGAGAAAAGGGGAAAGAGAAAGGACAAGGGCAATAAAAACAGGAGAAATACCAGGACAGAGGAGGAGGAAAAAGAAAGAGGAGGGAAAGGAGGAGGAAAAAAAAAACGATCTCCATCCAAGATTTGAGTTGAACCATCTGGTTCGAGCTTCAAGAATAATAATTTGATTACATGACCCCCCCGCCCCCTCTGAAAAGACAAAAGGAGGATTGTTGAGAGAACTGCTGTAACAGCAAATGAGACCTGTTGCCGTCCGGAACGGGCCATACATACCCAGAGGACTTCCTCGTGGGAAATAAATAGCACATGCCAATAGACTGAAGCTTGTACCATCCATTGTTTCAGTTATGATAAACACAAAAAGCATCCAAATTCAAAGGTAAAATTGTGATATTGTAACTTTTCACTGGTGCTGTAGATTCTACGGTTTTCCAACTATTGAGAAATAATTTAGCAAAGAACATTTTTATGATAAAAAAATTATAATGGGCTTTTCCTGCCAAGAAATTTGTGGGACTCATAACAAATAATTTACAAATTTGCTGTTCTCTCGCGTTTTCTGAGATGGCATTCAAAACACTTGCTAACTTGCCATTCTGGCTCTTATTAGCTTTCCTGTTTCTACAGTGTTCAGAACTGGCATGCAGGCTGAACTTCCACCGCTGTCAGGAGATGCAGCGACCTAACAAAGTAAGTCGAAAAGGCTGCTAACCACTTATACAGTGCACCTTCCCCTTCTACTCGTATTGGGCAGCAGGAGCTTTAATTTGCTATGTATAAATTTGCCATTGTGGAATAATGCAACAAGCCTGGTGACGCACCTCTGGCTTATTTTAACTTTGCGCTATAGATACATCACAGATAAAAACACTCTAGAATTAGAAAGGACAAGATGTTTTAGATGCTTCCGAAACAGGAGGTGTCACATAGGTTTCAGAACATTTGTTTTTTTATAATAATTTGAATACTTGACTTCTTCCTTTACAGGGGCTTGGATAAAATATACGAGTGTAGATATAATTACAATCCCTCCTGCTCGGCCGACGGGTAATTTGTTCACTGATGCCCTCTGTCCACTGGTGCGAGCGCCATGTGCGCGCATACACAAACACATAAATGTGCATGTGTCAAGGGGGCGGAACTGCTGACCGTGGGTAGAAAAAAATATTATTTTTTTTACTTCAGACTTTTTCGGGGCAGGAGGGGGGCAGTTATAATTTTAGGGGAAACACTGAGACCATTGCTGCAAATCCCAATAAGACTCATAGCAAACTCCTGTGTCAATGCATGGATGCACATTCATCCATGTTTTCAAGGCTTTGTTCACAAGGCTTCACTCTGCTGAGGAGGAACCAGCAGGCCGACAGCACAAAGCATTCCAACTCATGACGACAGAATCAGTGCAGCTCAACACGTAACAAAGTTTCCACTTGTGAGCACAGACGGAATTTTTCAATCTTTAATGACTCGAGTATCATAAACACCTGCACAGTTCAGTGAGATCAACACTGAGGGAAACCTCTGAGCTGCAGGGCTGCTGCGTCGAAGAGGAGCTTGTGGTAGTGTTGTTGTTATTGTTTGCTAAGCGTGAGATGTGAGATAATCATCCCCACAGAGGTCCATATCATTGGGAAGAATATCAGCAGCTGCTTTATACCAATATTGTTGTGTCCATTTAATAATTTCAACATTGTGTACCAGTCGCAGGCTTAATGCACCCTATTCATTACACTGACTGCCCGGAAAGACACCAGGACTAATATTTACAGGCATTGGACAAAGGACGCCCATCGGAGATGCAAGCACTACACACTCCAGATAACACAATATACAGGCCTGCCAACTTCATCATTGGTCTGCCATTCCTGAACTCCAGATTTGTTTGAAAAGTTACTCTGTAAAGTTCCGATAGAAGAATGCAATGGGGCTGAACACCCTGTAATTGTACTGCGATACATTCCGTTGGTCAGAGGCATTTTGGGAAAGGAAGCATTTGGATGCAGCAGTCAACAAAGACATGGATAGATTAGAACAAGCACGAGGTCCTTAGGAGCTCATCTAGAAACACGCATTAACCGGTGACCAGTCTGTCATAAAATAATGTAATAATTACGTCACGGCGCAGGGCTCGTGGTTGGAAACTGCCTTAGGAATAAGGAGAGGCTCTTTAGTACTTCTCCAAAAACTCCCTTCTGACTGTTCCACATTCCTGTCCTCCACTAGTCAAGCCAATGCTGTTCCTGTTCGCATGCAGACAGAGACACAAAGACATAGAGGGAGAGGACTAGCTCAAGACCACAAAACGTCCGGTCACATAAATAATAATAATAAATCGGACTATTTCAGAGGCATGTCAGTAGGGAGCTGTCCTGCCTGTGTGCATGGTTGCCAGGTTACAAAGGGCACACCTGGCTAAAATTATCTAAAGATTATGGCTGTTCCCACCACTCCTTCATCGTGGAACATGTCTGAACCTGAAAGGTTCCACCTCACCGTGCTTTACGGTTACGTATTGCTGCGGCTAACTCACGAGAAGTGTGTGCACGGCCATGATTTATAAACAATATGCTAACATTAGCTTTCGTCTCAGCCACAAGGTTAGCTGTTTATCCCACTGGTTGTACTACAAAATACACATGTCACGTGTTTTGTGGCGCCAGGTAGCTCTTTGGTAGCACAACGTATGTGTGTTTTGTTGGCAAAGTGTCCGCACTTTAAAGAAAATTAAAGGGCGGAGGAGACAACTTAAGAGCAAGGACGACAACAAGTTAGCCAAGCAAGCTAACAAACTTTCCGCTTTTTCTTCATGAGGTGACGAGATTTTTGTTCACTTGCATTACGTTACTCTCAAATATCGTGGTACTCACACAACGCTTCTGGAAATCATCCAGGACACCATGTTTTCTGTCTTCTTTAGCGTCAGGCGATAACAGCCCCGATGACACCGTTAATGGCTAGCGAGGCTGATCCGCGCCGCGGTAGCGTCGAACTTCTTCCGCTAAAACTTCGACCGGCTAATGTAGTTCCTCCGTTGACCGTCGACATGGGATAAGAAGGTCCTATCTCACTTTTCTGCTTTAGCAGCCATAGCTAAGCGGCGGAGTTTCTATCCAATACGACTCGTGTTGTTTTAAAGCCTCTCTTCCACTCCAGTTTCCTCCGTCGCTACTTTATTCCTGGCACCCAGAACGCTGCTCCGTGGCCGCTGACGTCACAGGAAAGGAACGCCCTGCCGAGCATACCGTTGGCCAGCTCGGTCTGTTTACTGACAACGCGTCCCGCCATTGGCTAGACACGTTGGACCATGTGACTTTTTCGTTTGACAGAAGCGGTGGAATTTCAAACCCGGTGACCCGTGCTCTGATTGGTCGGCCTTGGATTGGTGGCGATCTAGCCAACGGGGGGGAGAAGCGTCGAGGCCGTTTGGCAGATCTTTTAGGCGCTGTTGAGGTTTCCCATGGACGGCTACTTTATGTAGGTTCTACTGCAGTCAGGCAGGTTCTCGGGTCTGTGTTACACACTGCGCCCATAAATTGCGCAGTGTGATTTAAAATAAGCGCTTCCTCGTTAGATCATAGTTTATGACAGTACATGAAGTTATGAGGTCAAGAAAAAAAACAAGCGTCACTTTAAATTTAATGGACCAAAAATGTGTTTCTTGATACACAAAACCAAACCACTTTCCTCATATAATTAAATTGTTCGGTACTTTGTGGGCCAAGAGAAATACTAGAAGAACGTATCACAGATGTAAGTTGTACATATCGGTTGGTTCTTTCTAAAATAGTTTAATATTAAACAGTTATTAACTGTAATTTTGTGTATGTGTTTGTATGTGCATTGTATTTAAGCATACTTATATCAACATGCTGCAAATCTTACACGTTTTACACTTGCACTACACCTGGGATTCACGTTTATTACCTATAGTTAACGTATTGTTGACATGGTTTTAGATCGCTATATTAGGTGTGGAGGACAGAAATGTGCACTATTTTTAGACTGTTAGATTAGGCAAGCTGTGATGAAGCAAATACAATCTGATGACTGAGAAAGAATTGATTTTATTAATGTATTAATGGGTTTGTGCTTGAGATTCTTGGCTTTGGAGGACACTACCAACTGGATACCTTAAGTAAAAATTCAGCGGACTGCATGTGTCTAGGTCATTACATAAACCACACCAGTGTTTTAATTGTAATCATATTCATTACAGTTTTCCATGCACAGCACTTGGCAGACACAAACCCCCATCTGTGAGCTTCAGCAAGCCTCTCTCTTTGTGTATGCACGTCTGTCTGTGTGTGTGTTTGAGCTTGTATGTGTGGCGTATGTGCCTTGAAATGTCTGCATGCTGTGCATGCTTATGTTTGTGACGACATGTTCATGTATTTTGTGTACATATGATGTATGTGCACATGGGGAGGAGGGGGACTACAGGGTCACGTTCGTAGCTACTTGTTATTCATGAAGGTGGCTGCTGCAGTGTGCAGCAGCGTGAGGGAGATTCCCAATGGAGCCTCTGGTCACGCTGCCTGTTTAGGACGGCATCGGCCTCATGGATCACATCTGAACAGATCGCATCTGTTCAGATGTGATCCATGTAACCTCACAGTACTGTTTAATGTGACCCAGGGCGGCCAGATGTAGCTACAGACAGCTGATCAAATCAAAGTGAGCCGAGGTACATGCTGAAAATTAACCTGTGGGGAAAAACAAGTTATATTAGGTGTGGCATTATTGCTGCGGGGCATTCAGTACGCATCAATATTCAGCGATACAATGTGACCGTAACAACCACTTCCATTGTCCTGTTCATCCATCCTGATTGCAAACTTACATGTACTCGCATCGTCCTGTAAAAACCTTTGTCTGCTTTTTGGGTTGGAATGATATATATGTATATATATATATGTTTTCATTGTATCTTGAGCACACTCGGGGTCTTAACAGGAGCTACGTGGCCTTCCACAAGAACACATTTATCTCCTGCAGCTCTTCCTTTTACACAATTCCAGTGAGACTTTCACTGCCGTACACACTTTCCCCAGCAAATAAAGCGGGTATGTGCAGATCGTTTTAAGCGTGAGAAAAATAGTCAATATACTCCTTTGCCATTTTGTTTATAGTGCAACACAGAATCCAACATTGCATCTCAAGTACTTCAATTACTCTGCAATAACAACAAAAACACAAAATGGATTTGATGTTATGATGAGCGTCAGAACTAATGTATAAAACTCAAGACACATAGCTATAACTGTTTTCAAATGAAGACTGAAGGCTGCTTGCATGAAGGTGCCACCACACTTTCTCACTCGTGAAAGCGTGCAGATATGTGTCCGCGCCTCAGCATCCTCCACAAAAGGAAGTGTACGCCTCTTTGTGTCTTTACATTGTCTTAATCTGTCATTGGGCCACAACTTTGAGAGGACAGCATGTTTCATCTGTGAACTATAGAGGTGGTTTCATCAGTCCTTTCAACAGTGCCAGGCCAGCTGTTTTCCCCTGCTTCCTGTCTCTATGCTAAGCTACGCTAACCAGGTCATTGCTCCAGCTCTACCCAACAGTAGAGAGTTTCTATTATCATCCAATGTTGTACAATTCCTTTTAATGGATTCAAACGTTTCCTCCTTTGACCGAGAGCAGGTGCTTCCTCTTTGAATTAAAGGAATACACACACACACACACACACACACACACACACACACATTATATCAACATGTATCCAGTAAAAAGGACACACTATATAAATTAGACCACTTTCGGATTTCACTCCTCCCCAGTTGTCATGGTGCTTTTGCTCTCCATTGTTCATTTTGTCCTCCATCACGATAAGGCATCTTTGCTCCGCTCTTTTCTTTCTTGTTTGTTGCTTGTTTGTACTTGTTTCTTTCACGGTGATTTTTCAGCATCTTTCTCTGCTTCTCTACCCTCATTCTTGCCCGTTTCCCCCTCCACTGGTACATGTCTCCCTTCCTCTCTCTTCCCCTCCAGCCTCCCATCAGGTCGCCCCAGGCCTTGCCATCCCTACACCCAAGCCAAAACACACAGGAATCATCTATGGAGTGCATGGACGCACGTCTCACACACACACACACACACACACACACACACACACACACACACACACACACACACACACACACACACGCACACACACACAAGCACACACATTTGCTCTCTTGTCCTCCCTATGTTCATCCACTATATTCCCTCCTTATTTCTACATTCCCACTGGAAGAAAGAGGAAAAACTCAAATTCTGAATGAAATGATCGTATCCAGTAGAGAACAAGATCATCAAGGTGTAACAAACAAATATAACCAGCAGGATATATTGAATGGGAGATAATATAATGATATACTTTGTTTATAGAGAACGTTTATTACAATAACAAGGCATGTGTTTTTGGAGAAAAACAAAAGATGAATATAAAACTAAAACCAAACAAGATTAAAGAAACACTGCAGGATTAAATAAAAAATATGCAATTAAAAAAGTTTAAAAAAATAAAATATTGAAAAAACATAAAATATTGACGAATGTCCCTGTTATGGATTACAAGAACACAGTGCTTGGTTTGGAAAACAATAGACGCTTACAATGTGCGTGATTTATAATATAGGACATGCTAGTCCTGGTATTGTCTCCTAAAACCATTTAAACAATATTTTATTTGTGTAGTTTATTTCTGTTATATGCACTCCTTCATCTCCATACACGTAACTTTTTTATAGTGGTCGTGACAGTTCTTCAATCGGGAGCAGTTGCAGAAATCATTTAGCGAAAATAGTTCCGATACGATTTCGCCGAGCGGAGGGACATAACTGCGCAGCAGCCAGTAAATTGGGATCCAGCGGAGGTACACTAGTGTGGATCGCGGGCGGTGGTGCGGTGCAGTGTTCCACGGTTGACGCTTGAAGCGGGTGGAGACTGCTACACATTTAAATCCCCCGGCTCGTTTTTAAGCGTTTAGACGCGAGAGAACTTTTCCTTTTTTTTATTTTCTTTATACGGTTGGATTCTCCAGAACGTTTTTCATGTCGTAGGTGGCAGGTCTGTAAGGGCGTCGTTGTTGGGAAGTTTTTTCGAGGGGGGGTTTGGACCGGCGGAGGGCCATGGCAGTCGAGGCTCGGCCGGAGCTGGTCGGGAAACGCTTCCTCTGCGTCGCCGGCGACGAGCCGCCCGAAATCGGCGACATCGGTCGGTGGCCGTGGAGGTCCGGGGTCATACGAGCCGTTAACCATCTTGACAGCGACAACCCCGACCTGACGGTAAGGAGAACGCGGACTTTTGTCCTAACAAACCTCCTCCCTCGGTCTGTTACATGCAAATCGAATGGGAAATGTGTGCGGTCGGTGGGCAGCCAGCGAGGCGGTGTTCGGCGGACATTATTGTGCGGCTTTCTCTCCCTCATCGCGGCTGGTTGGACCCCTGCTATTTGGCGCTGTTTTGCCAAAGCATTTGTCATTGTTGTACACGTGTAGCTGGTTATTTGACAACTTAGCTGGCTGAGTTATCGGGAGGCAGGGTGCCAGTGGTGTGTGGGGGCTCCGTGGATTCAGAACCTCCAGTCTGTCCAGTCTCTCCGCTGCGGTGACAAACCTCCATGTTTCCCACCGAGTAGCGGCTACGAACGACGTAAACCCCCCCCCCCCGCTGGCTCCCCGCCACGAACCCGTGAGCCGCACGGCGAATGTAACGATGGCATTCTCACACATCCCCATCTAGTCCTCGAGATCCAGCCGGGAATCGGAAGGGAAGCGGCGCGGTCCTCTGGCGGAGGCTGTGGAGGAATTCGCGTCTCGAGCGGCTTCACGCTTTAATCCGCCGTAAACTGCGAATCAGCTGACGGGCTTTCTGCGCTCTGAACCGCGCTGCAGCCTTCGTCAGCTTATCCCCTTTATCTGCTTGTTGTCGGTCACCATCCACATTATTCTGATGAGATAATCGAGCAGAAAGCCCTCGGTGTGCCTGCATTTCTTCTCCGACTCGGACAGGAATGCTGGGACTTGTAAAAACATAAAAGCTGCTTTAGCTGCAGGCTCAACAATGGCCAGTTTGTCTGCGTGTTAAACGCTGTCGACTTGTGGAGCAGATGGATGCTGCCGTTTCAGGTGTAATTATATCTTCCTTAATGCAGCCGACATGTGCATGGGCAATGTGTTGGTCTCCGCCCCTTCCGTTTAAAAACAACAACTATTTTCCTAACATGCCAAAACAGCAAACAATGAGATATTTGCCCCGACGAGTACAGTGTGTCTGCTCCCTGGGTTTCTTTTGTTCACAGAATCTGCTGTGCAGGTTACCAGGAAAACCTCAGCACATCTCAGTGCACATATGTGCCATTTCACAAAGACAGTAACTCATCAGATCGTTTGAATATGAAAGCTCTTGTACGTATTTAATTTTTTTTTTTAGGGAAAACATTGCAACATTTTGAATCAGCCTTTACTTAATCTGCATAACTACATGAATTATTGGATGAAACCGCTCAAGCAATAGACTCTTTTAGATGAATACTAATATTAATTAACTTACTCGAATGGTAGTTAGAATAAATCCATAAATGCAAAAACGTGCAGCATAATTTTGAGAGCGTATAAGGCGTAATAATATATATAGCGAAAAAAACACTATATACATATTTGACTACATCATATATTCACGGGTCAGCTTCACATGTCATTTCGTGCTCATGGCGCTTTCTGTGGGATGCAGACGGCGGACACATCCCAGGTTTCACTGCCTCGCTGCCTGTCCCCTTATTCTGCACTCCACTCACGCACCCAGTTGTCTTCGTATATCTCTATCGCGACCCCTCTTCAATCCATTGCATGGTTTCTATCCACGTATTTAATACATCGCTCAACGAACATGCATCCCAGCTTCCCCTAATTCAGTTGTAGAACTGTTCTGTGTGTGTGTGTGATGTCCCTGAGGCAGTGAGTAGTGTTCTGCTTTAATGCCATACAATAGGGCACAGTCTCATTAGCGAGGGGCTTAACTAGCTGAGTGAATACAGTGGAGAGGGATTGGAGATTAGATTAGAAGAAATGTTTTAAAGCCAAGCTGTCAGGTCTGTGTCAAGTGTACGTTTCAGATAGGTAGTGGTGCATGAGTATACTGGGTGAGCAGGCGCTCAATCGGCTTATTGGTTCACGGCTGTGTATCCGAGCAGAAAACGGAGGCAAGTTCTAATCAATGATTCCATACGTATGAATATAGAGCCTGAGATCACCAATTTTTCTGCACCAATCTCTATATCAACAGGGGTTACCCATGCATGGTAGCTTTGTATGCACAGCGCTCAAATAGCTGAACAATATTGTATAAAGGTGTTGTCATGGTTACTATTTGGTGGTTGCAGCTTTACACATTTTCTGCACGTCCTTGTCTCAGATGATGGTGAACTGATTCTTCCTGCGCTTTGCACTGTTGGTTTGGAGCAAACAGGCACATTGATTATGTCTCACAGTTGTGCGCTCACAAACCACTAGAGATGTTGTCTTCTTTGAGCACCTGTTCATTCCTGACATGCTTTTCATTAGCTCTGCATTTAGGGCCCGGGAAATAGCAATGAGCAATTAGTAACTGATGTTTTGGACGTTTTATGAACCAAGTAATGTCGACTTATCACAGATGAAAGCGATCCTTTGTTGTCACTCGAGTTGAATATAACGGTATCTCACTCTAGCTTTATAAATGCGGCTGTGGCAGCTTTACTATGTCACGTAATGTAAGGTATTTAATAGTATATTTATTACGGTACGGGTTTCTGCAGATTAGAGCTGTTTGACTAAATTATAGCCGATGTGTGCTAAATAATGAAGACAAGGATATCATTTTAGAATACGCACTATCAATATTAGTATTCTGTCCCTGTAGTGATCCCTTTTTTCTGTACCAGCTTTTGGGGGTCTGTCTGTTCAGCAGCATGCGTTAAATGGACACATTTACCCTGAGTACATAATACACATTGAGCTCATGACCAATTCGTATATCTCGTATAATGTGTTGGATGCAATGCAACAGTGGGTTGAGGCTCAGTTCTGTTTTTTTTGTATTAATATGTGAACAGAACTGCTGTCCCTGCCTCGCAGACACTTGCTTTTGGGTGAGACCTGAGAGGACAACTCACCAAGCTCAAGAAAATCTAAAAAGCTCAGCAGCAGAACGTCACACCAACACATCAGGGGTAAAACAGCCACACTCATCTGGATCCACGATGAATGCAACGAGCAGGGCGGCCTATAGAAGCCTTTGTGTTGCATCACAGTCCACCGTGTGTGTGTGTGTGCGCGCTGCTCACTTTGTTTTCAGGGCCGTGAGCCCGGGGTTCATCTGTGTGTGGCTTATCAGCAGAAAGCTGCCCGGGGAAAGAACCTTCCACATACATCAGTTCAGCCAGCTTCAAAACTTTGTCGCGGTCTGCGCGTGAGCATTCTTCAGGTCCTCAGAAGTTGCTTTGTTTGGAGCACAAATCCGGAGACCCAGAGAATAAACACAATCTAGGAGCGAGGCTTTTCCCTCCAAACTAGATGCCTCAGTCTGGCCGGTACCGATTCGTCCATGATTTGGATCTGGCTATCCTTCTTGTTTCCCTCCGTTGAACCTTTTAAAATGCTGGTTGGTGCAGTGCATTGCAATGACCCAAGTCACATAGTGTCGAATCATGACTGCGGGGAGAATTGTGCAATTAATCATATATTATCATCCCCCCAAAAGGGCCTGGATGCTCGTTCATTATTGTTGTAGTTGATCAAATATCTGTGTAACGTCTCATTTCTTTCTCTGTCGACTCCTTCATCACAGCGAGGCAGGACACCCTCCCATATCTCCTATTCTAGAGATACCAGGAGCAGTTTTGATTAACCTGCGATGGTTTATTCCTCGTGTGCAATCAGCCTCAACATAGACAGGTCTAGACACATAAAGCATCGGGCCGCTTACAGGCATGCTTATTCTCAGCGAGTTACCTCCAGGTATGTTTCAACGTGTCTCACAGAGCAGCGTGCCTTCGGCCCAGTGTGTGCACAAGAGAACTGCTCACAATCTCTCCGTTGCTTGTTGTCGATTAGCAGTGGCGGTAATAATACATTTCAGAGGAAGCCGTATGGCGGCATGTTGAGTCGCTATTAACAAGTTGATATTTGCACAGTGAAGTGCAGCGTTGCTGTGTGGCGTTCAGGGCAGTGTGGTAACTGGATACTCGGTGTGTTAGTGGTTTGTTTTCTGGTGCCTAAGGAAACAAAATGTAATCCGAAGCCAGGATGGGCTGGCTGGATTGTCGGCTCGCTGTACCCTTCCCCCATCTCTCATAACACACACACACACACACACACAGTGCACAGGGCTACATACGGCAGCCATAAAGTCTCCTACAGACTCGCAGGCTTCCAGATAGCCCTGGGAATACATTAGTCCGTGGCAGATTCTTGCTTTCCTGCAGCACCCGGTTGGACCTGAATGGTGCTCTGTATAACTCTGTATCTATATAATCTCTGTTCACATGGTGAGTCTGCGTTTAGAGGCACAATGTTAAAAATACTTGTGGAAAACTAAAAAAAAGCACACCCATGTAATTGTAAGAGAACCAAAATATGTCACCAGAGGCTTGTAGTTGGCGTACAGTGACCACAACCTGTTGGTCCTTCTAGACAGATTGTGGACTTACACTTTGACTTAATGCTTAATTGTACCACTCATCTTTCCTATACTTCATGGAGATGTTTAATCAAAACGCAAGAACAGATTTTAGGAGAGTAACCCACTTTACCCAGGACCAGTAAGTGGTCCCCGCAAGTTTATGTAGACACCCGAGTTTAGGGGGTCACGCTTTGTTATCTCAGTACATCTTGAAAGGATGTCAGAGCTCAGTGAGCACAACAAAAGGTGTTTGATGGCTCTGCCAGATCGGTATCCAACGTGTAGGGTTTGCTATAGTACATGTTAATATGCAATGAATAGATTGTGTGTGTTTTATAGAGGAGACACTTGGCTAGAAAGCAGTGTGAATAACCCCCCCTGTCTGACCGCTGTTATCTGCACCCCACCACTAGACAGCCCCGCTGAATGAGATGAAATACGTGGATGCACGGTTTGATATTCCTACACGTGTCGGCGTGGACACTGATAAACTACCACCGGCACTCAGAGCAGGGGGTGTTTTCATAAGAAAGAAGCGTGTCAGTGCAAGTGGTTTCTCGGACACGGAGCTGTCCTGTGCGTTTTTTGAACACTGCTGTTAGGGAACAGAGGCCCGGCCCGCTTA